TTAATCAATTTAGGGGACACAAAAATATGATATTCCAGTTACACTGTCAAGTAGCAAGTTTAATCTCATTGAGAAAAAAACAATGCACACATTACTTTCTGAGCAGACTTTAGTTTAGGCTGAATATTTGAAAAATTCCTAGAGGTCTAAAGAAGCTCAACTCCTGATGCTCCCAATACCCATTTTTTCAAGTAAATACATTGTTTCTGGGATTGAGGCATTTATATTTTTCTTTGCAAAATGTTTCTTTACTAATAAAAACAATAGCTAGAAGCAGAACAGATCCGGCATCCAAACATAAACATTACACATGTCAAATTGACCTAATTTTGTACAATGATACTTGTACTCCTGTTCCTATTTATTCATATTTAATGCTTATTCAGAATTAATGCTTATTCAGTTTGATTCCTATTTTAATCTGAAATAGCAATATTTTTTATTAATGAATGTTTTAAGTATGACATTTTTTAAAAATCAGTCAGATCCAAAGATCCACCTAAGTATTACTTTAATCATAAAATATGTTTTTTCTCACAAAAACTGCACCATATGGCTGTCCATTTATATATGCTATAATATGAACTAATCAGAGCTAACGCTTGTGTTATATTTACAGATAAAGTTATCATGTAAGATAGGAATATTTCATATGTACACATAAAATGTTCACAAGGAAGCTGGCACTTATGGACAATATAAAACTTGGCAACAATTAAACAGTTAAGAATTGGTGCACAAGACAGGAGAAGCAGCCAAGAGTGAGACAGTGCAGCCACTGCCCTTCAAGGTGCTGTTGGAATTGATTGTCCATTAGGCCCAGTCAAATGGGTATGAGCAGGCGTTGTGAGAATTCAGTAGTATGCGAAAGGCCAGCTATATTCTAATCTCCTTCTTCTAAAATAATTCTCAGTAACCTTGAAAAACAGGATTAATGAGTTCTTCTTTGTAGGTAGTTAAAAAATTCCATTATAAGACATAGCTTAGTTACATTGGATTTTTGTCTAATTTTTTTCCTGATAGTTAAAAGAAGAGAAATTGAAAACATATTGTGGATTTCATACATTACCTATTTGAAAATGGAGTTTTCCTTTTACCATAGAAAGTATAGAAACATAACAGAGATGTTAACAAATCTCTCATTCATTATTGGATAATAAAGGGCCATTAAGGGGTGGAAATTTACAAGAGAATTGATGAGCCTCTATAGCTGTCAGGGTCAAAATTAAGATTACTAGACATACTAATCTGAATGGCTGGGTTCATCCCTATTTTAGTTGGAAAGTAGGATAAATAGCATAACTTACTCACAGCACATATCCATACTAATTATTTGGACTGAAATCAAAGCACCTACACAAAGCTGACATAATTGCTTAATCACTCCTTAATGGTTGTTTTGACTTTCTGGGTAATGTTACACTCAAATGCAATGTGAAGCATGCTCACAACATTGACTCAGGATGGCTATTGGACATGCTACAAATGCATCCTATTTTTTATAACAAGTGATACAGTCCTGAGGAAAAAATCTGGAACAGGAGAAAGGTTTAGTGCAAATTAGTGCTGTAATGCCCCTATGCCCATATATTGCAACTGTACATTAGCTGTGAAGGAATACTGATAGCTGTTTCAAAGTCTTACATTTGTTAATAAAAGACTTATTGCTACCCCATTGCTCCGCCTGGGGGTTGTTCATTTGCATTGGTAGTCTAGTTGCCACAAAAGAGAATCAAGGCTCAGAAAAGAGGTCTTTAAGTATTACTCAGAGACTATGGCTAAAGCTAGCATCAGTGCTAATGGATAAGTCACAGACAGAGAAGAATGGCTATTTATATACAGGATGAGAAGAGAAGGACATTATTTTAGGAACTATATGGTGTTGCTGTTTCATTATAAAAATAGATCAGTATCCCAATATAACAAAGATAATATAAATGCAGAAGCAAGCTTGTTTACTTATACCTTTCTCGCTCAGATAAAGGTATGCTGCACTTACTGGTCTTGCCCCTTCCCCACCCTACTGTAAAAATAGATGACAATTTGCCACCCTTTGATAGCATCAAAAAGATGCAATTGTAATGTAAAATTTGGCCCTTCCATTGCATGTACAAGAATCTCTGAACTGGGAACACATAACATTTTGGAAAATTTATCAGACCCTTCAAATACTTAAGATGACGTCCAGCACATGATTCCAAGCCAGGAACCCATTTTGCTGTGTTAGCTATTTTTAGAAGTGGAAGTTTTTTTTACCTGTTGTGTATATTTGAAACTAAAGAAGTCCCATGCAAACATTACTTTCAGGAATGATGCCTGGAATGATATTCACATTGACACAGCAAAAGGGCTTTGAGACAAGTTCTCTTCTATACAAAAGCAACACTGCTCTTTAATAATATTGATAGTATCCTCAGACACCTACCATAACTCACATATAATAAAACAAATTGCAATGTACTACACTTAAATTCAGTCACTGCTGAAAAATTGGTCAACTGTTTTCAAGTGAGAGCAATGACTGGCTATGGACCCATGACAACTCATGGTGAACTGATCAAAAGAACAAGAGAAGAAATTGAACAAAGCCCTTCGGTACTATGTTGTTGTCAGGATCTATGGCACTGCAATAGAAAAAGGAAGATGTCAAATGTAATGAAGTGTAGGTGAGGTAGATGTGAGATGAAATTACAGATGTAGAAAAAGATCTATATGCTACACCATAAATTCCAAAGAAGCATGTAATGTATAGAAAGATGTACAATATTTAAGGAATTATGAAGTTGAGCACAGTGGTACCTCAGTACTCATCCTTAATTGGTTCGGGGGGTGCAATGAATACCAAAAATGAAGAATACCAAACATTTTTCCCCACAAGGAATAATGTAGTGAGTTACAAGGCAGCTGACACTGACAAGTTCTACCTTATGTGTTGAGTATCAAACAAATGATGAGTACCAGGACAAAATTTTCACATCAAAATGCATCGAGTACCAAATTTGATGAGTTTCAAAGCACTGAGTACCAAGGTACCACAGATACTATAATAACAATGTTTGTACATTCTTAACTTGGAATGTGTACCTGTGAGCATATTGAAGAAAGAAAGGCACATCTTCCTAGTATGGAATGTGTACAAGAAGAGCTGGTGATTACAGCATAATATCCCATTCCTGCCCTCAAGATATAATAAATGGAACCAGTGTATTAAGTTAGTACAGCTTGAGATATTATGTCATCAAGAGAATAAAACTGCAATCAGTGATGTCCTAAGACAGGAGTGTCAAACTTGCCATGTTAAATGACGTGTTGCAAGGTATCACGATTTTTTCTCCATTGCTGGAGCTGGGGTGGGCGCGGTTTTGGCATGACGCGTCCAGTCCGTGAGCCGGCAGTTTGACACCCCTGCCCTAAGGCAATTCAGCAAAAACAAGATATTTACAATGACATAGGGTTCTAGAGGTTGTTACTATATAATTTTCATAGAAACAGAGATTGTTAATAATCTTTTTGTGCATATAGCTATGTTTACATGCATTAATTTAATTATATACCAGATTTAAAGAAAATGTGGACAATATGCAAACATTTAACATGGATACTAACCCATATCGTATACAGTGTAGCTCTAGAAAACTGCATTGGAATTATGCAATCATGGTCTGTAGTCCAGTAGCTCTTATATAAAATGTACATAGGTGACTGTGTACTTCTATATTTTATAGTTTTAAAATAAATTGTCCATATAGAAAGAATAGTGCTAGATGAGGCATTTGAGTTTTAAAAGCCTTGCCCCCTTCAACAGACCCAGCAGCAGCGAACTGGAAAAGTGCAGCATTTTTAATTCTAGATTTAATAGCTAAAGGGAGTATGAAAGATCCCATTCTAAATAACAAACATAGATTATTTTTTCTCCATCCTTTATCTGAACAGAATATGTCTTTCAGCATATCTGAGCTCAGTGCTAGAAGTGAAAAATTATATAATCAATCAGGATGTTACTTGCTTTTTTTTACTATACCCAAGTGATTTAAAAAATGGGATAATGTGAGAAGTGTTTTCAGGAGCATCCAGAAAATATACGTTGCCCTTGGAGTAAAGCATAACCATTGTTCCTCTTTAAGTGTAACAATTTCCAGCAGATTAACTTATTTCAAATTATGGTATAATGTACAGAGCTTAATTATTAAAAGTTAAAAACAGAAGCCCCAAGGTGACATTATTTAAAAGGTGTGTTTTAGAGAAGTTAGCAAAGAGTGCACCATTAAAAGAGATCCACATCGCAAAGAATGAAGTTATGAACTGACCACATAATGAGTAACAAGAAATTGTCCTGAACAAGTCAAATTTTCATATGTCTTGGGGAGCAGAATACTAAACTTCAGGCACTCCAAATGCTAGATTGTCTCGTATCATCAATGTTTTCCGGAGGTCTCGCTCCATGATTGGTCTTTGTGTTCTCCACTTGTGTGCTTCCTGAAGCCCTGGCTCAAAATAGTATATACAAGCTCCAAAGCCCACCAATATGAGAATTGAGATCATCAAATACATTGGCACAAACCAATCCAAGAAATGAGGCATAACCACTAGACAAAAAGAAAGTAAAGTGTTGTTTGATGAATAGAAAAAATGCAATCTTATTTATTTAAAACATTGCCATATGCTAAATAAATCTAAAATGTTAATATAATTACCTACTTTTCAGCCAACTCTGGGCAACTCCCAATCAAAGCTTAAAAGACATATTAAATCATTTTAAAAAGTATAAAATGCATCCAGTTAAAACACAGAATATTAAAAACAACAAAAACCTGCACCAATCCAACCTAATATGCCTTCATCCAATCTTCTCCCAATGCTTGGGGGGAAAGCCAAGCCTGATGAACTTCAGGGAACAAAATGTTTCACAGGGCATGGGCTATCATGGAAAAAGTACACTTCCTACCGGTAGCTCCCATTAGATGGCAATATTTGGGGGAAGGAACAAGAAGAGTACCCACCTTATCTGATCTGATAGGAAGGGTAGATATCCTTAGGAAAAAGCGGTCCCACAGATAGCATGGCCCGGTGCACACAGGGCTTTAAAAATGATGACCTTGAATTGCACCTGGAAAGAAACTGGAAGCTAATGGAGCTTGCACAATAGAGTGTTACATAGGCAAACCTAGTGGCCCCCATTACTATATGCACTTCCACATTCTGGACTAGTTAAAGTTTCCATGTGTCTTCAAAGGCAGCCCCATGTAGATGGGAGGTGACCAAGGCATGCGTGACTGTGACAAGGCCTCTTGGTCTAGGAAAGGGCACATTTTTTTTTGTCTTCTGCGATGCAATGAAATTAAATTTGGCATAAAATCATCTTTTTTCTATTAAACCCAAGCAATAACTTACCTTGAAAAGCTGGTCTTTTTCCCCCTCTAAGATGACTTATTTTAGAACTTTTTCTATTCCTAAGAAGAAAAATAATAGAATAAATTATACAAATATGTATATTTTTCCCTTACAATTTTTCTATATTTCAAACTAGATTTACTGATTATTTAAAGCATTTTTTTTATTCCTCCTTTCAATCTTGTTACAATATCCAAAATAAAAATACAGCCATAATAGCATTGTTCCATAGCCTGCTGCCACCAATATATGGAACTACAACTTGTTCTTTTCCTTGATCTGGTTTAATATTGGAATCTCCATGTATTTTGGTGTTGGGTGTTAGGTGATTTCAGTCTCAGTGCTTCCTACCTGGGGTTGGCAAGGCCATGAATTTCAAGGCCTACATTCTGACAACGAATTTGTCCCAAGCAACCTTTGGCCCCAACCCTTGCAGGTAGTCATACATTAGATGTTTTGTTCATCTTGGAGCAGTTGTGTGATGATCTGAATAGGGAGGGGATTACTTCTAACTCACTGTCTTGGCCAAAGTCCAACTGAGATTCTCTGTCATTTTGCTTCAGAATATGAACATTTTGATTTATAAAACCCAGTATGGCTTGGCACCTCAGGACCCCTTTCTAATAGGTGTTGCCCTTTATGATGAAATCATCTCTGGAGAAGCTGCTTGTGAGCCCCCAATTCCATGAGGTGAGGAAGCTGAAGCCAGAAGGTGCTGCTTTTCAGTCATATAAATTAGCTTAAAGCAAAGCTGGCTGCTCCTGGAAGATAATGAAAACCATATTTTACCGGAAAAACCTTTTAGAGTGATTGCACACCTTCTGGAACTGAATTTTAGTTTATTTGATATTAGATTACAACTGTGACTTTTGGCTAATTTATATATTATATGACCTTTTTTTACTGTACTTATTTTATTTTTTTAACTAAACATTTTGAAATAAAATAATTCTAATTTTGTCAGCTATTTTTGACAATTTCATTGTTATAGCTCCTAATGCTCTAATAATTACAGACATTGGATGATGATTCATTTTACTTATGTGCCACTTTATTTCAGAAACGTGATACTTCTTCCACCAGCTTCTCCCCACCACAATAACCTTGAGAGAAAGGCTGGACTAAGAGATACTACTGGTCCCAAATCAGCTAATAATTTTTCCTTATTAAAGGTGACTTGGACCTTGGCCTCTCAGTCCTAGACAATATGTAAACCCTAATACTTTGTTTATTGAAGCTCTCTGTTCTGGCCCATATAGCTCTATGGCCCATATAGCTCTATGGCCCAGCTCTACGTTGGAGTGTCTGGCAGTTATTGGGTTAAATGCTAGGTATATGGATGGGTCAGTGGGAGGAGTTCCAAAGGTCTTTGGAGACTTCCTGGACACAAGCCACATGGGAATCCTTTTGTCGGTAACAAGCATGGGCCATGGAGGTCATACAATAGCCTCAGTCATTATAAAGATGGTATAAAGAGCAATATCTTCTTACCTAAAGGAAGGATCTAAAAGATGAACAAACATGTATTTCCAGCAGCACCAATCTCAACGTGAACGCAAGTAATCTTTCTCATTAAAATATATTTTGTTTATTATAAGATCATTTCTTTTGAGTTAACTATCTGACAGGATTTAAAAGAGATCACTTTAAGTTTGTGTCAGAATAGTAAGAAGATAAACTCATAATTTGTGCCATCTTTTGAAAGCAAATAGTAAATTGGCAAAGATTAATTCTTCTCTCAAAGCTGCAACAGTTTGAAGAAAGAGAATCAAATTGGTTAGCCCTTTCTCTACATTAACCTTCAAGGAAGTAAAGATTCTCTTGATGCCTTTAAAAGCCTGCAAAGCAAAGCCAGCGTGTTTGTGTAAAAGACAGCTTTCAAGGAGTGATTCAGAAGTTTTGTTATGCTAATTCGCTTGCTAGCTAACCTTCAAAGTGAAAAGTGCCTTGTATCTGATTCAAAATTACTTTGGACCTGTTCTCAAATTAATGTTTATAGCGGGGAGAAAGAAAAACAAAAATCTACACTTTTGTTCCTTGCATGAAAAGTTTGAATTTTAACACCAAAAGGAGCTTGGGCTTTTCCCCCTCCCGTCTTTGCCAGTGAATCACGCAGCCTGAAACAAAGAACTGTTTAATGACTGCCTCTAAAGTTCAGACAAAAGCAAGGTTTATTGCCTTTCAATAAACTCATCTGTTGCCATAGTGACAGCCCTAGGTATGCTCGGAATTTCAGCCAATGTTATAAGGAGGAATCATCGCAGAAGCACCCCCTGGTGGTCATGCAATTTTTTTTCTAGCTGAGTCACAACAGCCACAATTAATTCAGCACACAACAGAGCAAATCTGTTAGTTAAAGTGCAAGCTACTTAAAGTTATCCCAAGCTACCAACACCCCCCAGAGGGGACAGAGTGATCTTACCAGAAGCATTCACTCACTCACCCAAGCTGAGCACTAAGCTGTTCCAGCTTGAGAGAACTTAGGCAGAAGAAATCAAAGCCAAGTCTCTTTGTTTATTATCACAGCTGATGACCCGGAGTTCCAGCCTGCAACTCGCCAGGTGGGAGTTTGTACCTCTACATTCTCTCAGTGGCTCACTAGCAGTAACGTGGTAATAGGAAGAATTTGGCTAGTCTATTTAACACCCTCTAGAGGGCACAGAGTGAACTTACCAAAAGTACTCACTCACTCACTCACTCAAGCTGAAGGCTAAGCTGTCCCAGCTTGAGAGAAAGGAAGCAAGAGCCAAGTCTCTTTGCTTATTATCACAGCTGATGACCCGGAGTTCCAGCCTGCAACTCGCCAGGTGGGAGTTTGTACCTCTACATTCTCTCAGTGGCTCACTAGCAGTAACGTGGTAATAGGAAGAATTTGGCTAGTTTTTTAACACCCCCTAGAGAGCACAGAGCGAACTTACCAAAAGTACTCACTCACTCACTCAAGCTGAAGGCTAAGCTGTTCCAGCTTGAGAGAAAGGAAGCAAGAGCCAATTGCCTTTGCCTATTATCACAGCTGATGACCCGGAGTTCCAGCCTGCAACACGCCAGGTGGGAGTTTGTACCTCTACATTCTCTCAGTGGCTCACTAGCAGTAACGTGGCAATAGGAAGAATTTGGCTAGCCTTTCTCCAGACGCCCCCTAGTGGTTAAAGGAAGCTCTACATGCAAGCCTTTAACCGCACCCAGAGAAGCCCCTCTAGTGGACAAAGAGTGAACCTCAAAGCCAGAGCACCCTGGTAGCCCACCCACAGCAAGTGACCCCTAGTGGTGAAAGGGTGAACTGCACTGAAGTACCCACAAACACAGGAGAACACACCCAGTGGCATCTCCACCCACAGACAGCACCTCAGAAGCTGATCTACAAGTAGCGACCCCTAGTGGTCAAAGAGAGAAGTTATTCAAATTCTCTTCAAAATGGCTGAGAAGGACACGGAACCTACCCTAACCATGGAGGAGTGTCTTATCGATTTGGACAAAGGGGTTCAATTAACCAGCCTAGTTGAGACACCCCAACCAGTCAGTCAAGGAGAGATGCTGCAAACAGCCAACCTTGACCAGTACGCAGAGGTTGACACTCAAGCCTCAACAAAGCCAATAATGTCTCAGGGTCAATACGATCTTAGACAATGCAGAAAGCTCACAGATGCCATGCATTCACATCTGATGGAGAAATGGCACATCATCCACAGACGCCATGAACGAAGCTGGGAGAGATTATACAAACTCTACCATGAACAGAAGGAGGAACTCTCCCCAGAACGGGCACACGCAGTGGAAGGAAATAAGGAAGACGCCTACGTGCAATGGATGGACTCTGAATGGCAACTCAAGGACATTCAAGAACAGTTAAGAGACCTAAGAGTCGACAGCGAGATGCAAAGCCTCAGGCTAATAAACGAGGAACGTAAGAAGCTTCTAGTGAGCTCACATGGTTCCCCACAGCCCGAACCTCACCAGAAAGGCAGACCGGTCAACAGAACCGAGTCCGAAGTTTCCCGCCATTCACATGCACCATCACAATGGTCGCACGCAGATCCATCCCATGTGTCTGGAAAGGTCTCATCTTTTCGCCACATGTCCAAGGCACACTCCAGCGTGTCCCAACACTCGCATATCACAGGACCCTCCTGCCATTCAAAGGCATCTTCTCGCCAGAGCCATGCATCTCGAGCCTCAGGAGCAGAGAGTATTGCCGCCCGTCTCAGGGAAGCACGGATCAATACCGCAATGGCCAACGTTGCTGCAGACGCAGCAGTAGACGACCAGCTACATAGAGCCTACTTTGAGATTTTCCAGCGACAACAGAGAGCAAAGGAGGCAGCCGCAATAGAAGCGATCCTGCAGAGAGAGTTAGAAGATGCCATGTCAACACCCAATTTGGAAAGTTTAGGAAGGGAAAGTTCTCACAGCCGTGTACAGGCCTATGTGGATAACCAAAGCGCACTCCAGAATGCACGGATGAGAGCACCACAGCCAGCCACAAGCCCCCCAAGACCGAGTAGACGAACAGAGGAATCTCACCGACCTGATTCGCCGATCAACCGCAGAGTTGATGTCACGACACCTAGGTCACGAGATCCTCCCGCCGTTGCCGCCTCATCGAACCTGATGGGATTACCAGCAATGACAATGACTGCACAGCGGGGAGTGCTACAAGATCTTTCCACCATTATTACCCCACAGAACCCGCCAAACCATACCACTAATGGCAATCGGATGGATCCACCTGTAGCACCAACAGCCCTACAGCAGAACCAGCCGACGCTCAGGGATGAGGTTGAAAGAGTTAGAGCCACACTAGAGTCACTAGAGTCCCTGCTGCACCAACAGGAGGCAGCGCCCCAAGGAACTGCCACCAATCCTGACTACAGACGACAGCCTCGAGTATCAGCTCTGACAGCCTACCAGGGAGCTAGCTACACTCTACCAGAAACACAGACCTTCCAACACGTAAGCAAGCAGGAGCCTGGGCTCCCTCAGCTCAGCGCCAGTGCAGCAGAGTTCAGACCAAGCCAACAAGGTCCTTTGCACGTGACATGGCAAAATACACCCAGCCACCAATATGCCGAAGGAAATTACCAGCCAAACATGGCACACGCCCCTACTCCTGGAAGCGAGGTACCATCGCCACCCGGTTACACCCCTATGAGACTTTACAGAAGCAAACTAGATCTGGCATCCAAGGGTGTACACAAATTCCCCGATAAACCGGGAAAGGACTACGTATTGTGGAAGCTCATGTTCCAAACCGCCATCCAAGATGAAGCTATAACATCGAGCGAAGCGCTCGGACACATGAAAACATGGCTGGGACCAGCTTCCACATGATTAGTAGAGAACACTCAACTAGCCCACCTGGGCAACCCAGCTACTGCCCTTCTCAAAGCTTGGGAAAGGCTCGACGAGCGGTATGGCGGGCATGAACTGACAGAAAAGTCGCTCTTGGATTGCATTTACACCTTCCCTAACATCAATGTCAATGATCACACCCAGATGTTGGAATTTGCAGACACACTCTCGATGCTACATTCAGTTCGCGAGCAACCCAACATGCCAAAACTTACCTGCCTCGATCAGTTCGAGAAGCAAAGGATTATAGTTAGAAAACTACCAAAGCAGTCAAGGGACGAATGGGCCAAAATATCAGAAACCCACAGGAACCAAGACCCCGACGCACCACCCGCCTTCGCTGTACTCGCTGATTTTGTGGCCGACCAAGCAAAACTACGTCGTAATGCCAGCAACTTCGAGCCAACAGAAGACAACTTCAGCCCCAACCGAAGTTCTTCCCAGGCTACAGACAGAACCACACCTTTGATGTATACAACAGACATCACGCCTTCCCCAAAGAAGTCTCCAGACAAACAAACACCGAGAAGCGCTCTTTCGAACCCTCATCCAACTATCAAAGGCCTAGCTTGCCCGATACACAAGTCCTCTCACTCTCTAAATGATCGCAGAGACTTTAGGAAGAAATCCCTAGATGACCGAAAGACCCTACTCAAAGAGAATAGGATATGTTTCAAATGCTGTGACTCTATGGATCACATGGCCAAGGACTGCACAGCTAAGGTGAAATGCCACCTGTGCAACAGCGACAGGCACCCAGCAGCCTTACACCTAGAACCTAAGATGCTGTCTAAGGAATCACGACAAGCAACTAGCTCTACACCAGACTAATCACTGACCGAGTCCTGTTGCTAAGGAAGACCAGTTTAGACAATTGAACCTCTTCAGTTCCAGCTGTTGTTCCTGATTCTTCAGTTCCGGCTGTTCCTGAGTTTCCAGATGTTCCTGATCCTAAGTTTCCAGCTCCGGCTGTTCCTGAGTTTCCAGATGTTCCTAATCCTGAGTTTCCAGATCCAGCTGTTTATGTCTTTCCAGGTTTTTCAGTTCCTGAGTATCCTGTGAATCCAGTTCCCCTCATTCCTGAGAAGCTTGGGTTCCAGTTTTTTCTCTTCCAGAAAAGAAGAAGACCTTGTCTCACTGGGAGACAAGACTGCATACCGGAACTATTGGCCCAGGGGACTTGTGCACTGGGCCCACCCACTTGATGAACTAGTTTACCCAGCTGAGATCCAGATCGTGAAGCCACATGAGTCAGGTCATGACTCAAAGACACTTATACCAGGCTGATCACCGATTTGGTCCATTGCTGATGAAGACTGAACCACAAGATTAAACCTCTAATTATGTATTGTCTTATGCATTATTTGATGTAACACTTGCCTTTTAGCATAATCGTGCATGTTTTATGTTTACCTTATAGTTATGCATGTTTGATACCAAGTTTTATCTATTTAGTCACAAGTTAACCACAATGAGTATTGCATGCCTTGATGCTACGTTTTTACTATTTTAGTAGTGGAAATATAAATTTCCAAGCGGGGAGTGTTCTGGCCCATATAGCTCTATGGCCCATATAGCTCTATGGCCCAGCTCTATGTTGGAGGTCTGGCAGTTATTGGGTTAAATGCTAGGTATGTGGATGGGTCAGTGGGAGGAGTTCCAAAGGTCTTTGGGAGACTTCCTGGACACAAGCCACATGGGAATCCTTTTGTCGGTAACAAGCATGGGCCATGGAGGTCATACAATAGCCTCAGTCATTATAAAGATGGTATAAAGAGCAATATCTTCTTACCTAAAGGAAGGATCTAAAAGATGAACAAACATGTATTTCCAGCAGCACCAATCTCAACGTGAACGCAAGTAATCTTTCTCATTAAAATATATTTTGTTTATTATAAGATCGTTTCTTTTGAGTTAACTATCTGACAGGATTTAAAAGAGATCACTTTAAGTTTGTGTCAGAATACTCTCTATCCACTTTATGCATTGTTTTTTAATTTGTAAACCTAAGGGCAAGATCTATGCATATTTTTTTTAGAATCATAGAAATAAAGAACTGGTAGGCATCCTCAGAGTCATTGGATCCAAAGCTCTCAGTGCAGTGATCTAAATCAAAGCATATCCAACAAATATTTAACCTCTGGCCAAGCGCATATAATGAACAGAAAAATAAACTTAAGAGTAATTTTTGCTGTTAAACTGCTTGTACCATTAGGAAGGGTTTTTGTTATTGATGTTTTTCATGTTCAGCTGGAATCTGCCTTTCTTAAATCTTTTACTGCGTATTCTGGAATGAGAGCAGATTTCCTGTGTAGCATATTTTCAAGTTTGCTTTTTCTCAAGGCTGAATGTTTCCAGTTCATCTAATTTCTCTTCACAATTTCTAGGCCTCCAAACACTCTCTTCTCTGAACCTGTTCTAATTTGTCTGAATTTTTTTTTAGTACCCAGAATTAGGCACAAGACTCATGCTATGGTTAAACCAATATTTTAATCAATGTAAGTGGCTTGGGGAGAAAAATAATAAGTTTGAATCTTGGGCTAAAAATACAATCAAATATGTAAGTTTGATAACAGAGGAATATTATCCACAAGCCTACAAATTTGTAAATTCCCAGCAATCAAGAGATGTTTTGTGTAAAGAGACTTGCCATCTTAATTGTTTTAAAGAAATTAGAAATGTCCAGTTTGAACAAGAAAAAAATGAACTTGGACCTCATTTAAATCTCTGTATACTATTAAATGTTTTGCTATATTAAAAATATCTTCAGGGATACCCATTTGATGAATTTTATCATGTACTAAATCTAGTCAAAGATAGTTTTTCAACCTAATGGTCCAGTTATGGTCAAATACTCAACTATTCTGGGACAATCCATACTTTTAGCCAACCCCAGAACCCCAAAGTTATGTTCTGTTCCCCTTCCAGAAATAACAAATATAGACCATGGTGATGTGATAATGACAAAGTGTTTACTGTGATATTACAGTTGCAAACTCTGGCCTTTTGTATTGTATTGTGGTTTTATATTGTATTTGTATCATGGCAATGGCTGCAAATCATGTAGTCTGTGCCTTGTGGTGATGCAAGTTTCATCATTTATTCTTCCCTTGCCCCATTCATAGAAACCTGTGTTCCCCTTGCAATGATTTCAGGGAAATAAAATAGAGAAGGTGTATCCCTACAAACCGCTGGTTTTATGAAACCCTTGGTTGTGCCAGAGACATAATGTAGATAAATCAGAAAACAATTTTCCTGTTTTCCTCAATAGAATCAAATCCTATATCAAAAGACTTTCTTGTATAACCCAATAGGATAGAAATATAGGGAATTTTTAAAGGGCTACAATTTAAAAAATAATGTAAAGAAACACCAGAAAAAGGAACTGAATTCCAGAGCTTTTCAGTACTGTGGTAGCTCATTCTGATCCTTTTTAAAAATTACTTTGTGGTCTAGATCCAGATTACCTTCTCTACATCAATCCTGTAGGACCTTTATATAAAAAAGATCCTTTTCTTTCAGAGAAGATGCCTTCAAATTTTCATGTCTATGTCCTTGAATTATGTACGCTTTTGCTCTTTTTCTATTTTTGACCTTGCATTTCAGGTTTTTTTTGTATTTTGATCTGAATTACTGTTTTCCCCCAGGTACATTAATTACAATTTCGTTTAATTTTAGTATTCTCTAAAGAAATCATGTGTATACTTTAATTCCATGTGCTTTATATACAGTATGTCACTAAAACATTTAATTGAATGAGATTGTTGCATGCATGACAATAGGTTATCATTCAGTAATAGATTACAATTAGAAGATCGTTCAGTGAATGGATCTTAAAGTAGGTGATCTAAAGTTCAAATCGTGTTCTTGAATACATCTGGTAACACTAGAAAGCTAAGGTTCGGCTAACCTCATAGCAAAAATAATAGACCCAATCCAAGGAAGTCCTTCACATAACAAGCATATTTGACTCTAAATATTTTATAATCATTCTTGGAATAGAAATAATCAAAGCAATAGCAGGAAGCTGGTTACAATAGTATCTGAGACCAAAACAGAATATTGTATTGTCCATTGTGTCTAATGATCTTAAAGATCTACATTTTACAATACAAAAATCATATCCATTTCTAAATTAAGATTATCATGCCAGCTCTATACAGTATACACAAATATTATTGAGTAAACAATATTAATTCTCTAAAATATGTAGTTAGATTGCAACTAAGCTATTAAGACCTCAGTTCTATACACACTTACCTGGGAACAGAGGTTTTCTTCAACATTCACTATCTATAGAAGAAAACAAAATAAAACAAAACTACGTAGGGATTATTAGCATTAAATATATCTGAAAGAGAGCAATTCATTTAACAATTTATAGTAATTACTCTTCAGCCTCTTGTATAACTTCATTTCTATCCCTCCCCCAAAATGAGGTCTTGATTTCAATATATCTATACTGTGATTTTTTTGTGCGTGTGCTGGTTTATGAAATGGCTAGTGATGTTTAAATGGCTCTTATGGATCTAAAAGGAGACCTCACCTGCATATTTGTGCTCTACAGACATATGGGTACAAAATAATACATTGGATAAAATCATAAAATCATTCTAATCCCTACTCTACTATGAATAATTGGGTCTACATTCATTTTTGATGTCTCAAACTGGCAGTGTATCTAAGGAATGTCACAGCTGCAGAGTTCAAGCTCAAAGGAAGTTCTAGAACACTTGAAGTTATAAAATAACAGGATATTTCATTTTATTAATTATGTCATATTTATGCATTCAGAAGTAGATTCAGAATTAGCACAGCACAGAACTCACAATTTTTTTTAAAACACGACCAAAGATTTGTTAAGGGCTGCCAAATAAACCCCATGTTCACATATCTCCACAGAAATACCACAAAAGATGCATCACCTACCTCAATCCATGCTTACTTTAGGAGATCACAGCTGCTAAGCAAGCTATTCTGGTACCAGGCAGCTTTTGAAGGCCAGTCGCTCTCCGCTGTGCAGTCAGATGACAAGGCAAAGGGTTTGTTTCTTCATCCAAGGCAGCTGGAGTCCTCAAAGTGCCAGAGCAGATTGGTCCAGATTGAAGACAGATGGAGCTGCACTTGCTCTGCATGCAGCATGCTGGTGCATGCAGTTGTGAATCATATATTCAAGCTCACTGTCTGATCATCTGCTGTTGCCAAAGGACACTCCCCCATTTCCTCCCCCCCTCTTCCCAATAGATGTACATTACACTCTGGACCAGTTTGGCATCTTTCCATTCTGCTTTCATTCGAGTGGGCCTCCTCCCTTTCACCCTCACAAAAGAGGCAACATTGTCCCCAACCAATCAAAATGCCGAAGCAAATGAGGACTACCAATTGTTGTCATAGCAACAAGCCCAGAGAGCTCGCCTCTACGTGTGATACAAAGGATAAGGGGAAAAAAAGAGGTTGAGAGATGCTCTAAGGTTTGGAAGACAATTTTCAATGGAACAGTATTGCTAAAACATGACACTTCCCACTGGCTCCCACCTCAAGCACCACATTCAAGCAATAGCCAAGGCTTTCCCCCCAGAGCAATAATAGCCTTTCACATGCATATTAGAATGTACTGGTAGGGTGAGCTCAAACTCAGGACCACAGAAAGGGAATTCAAAGCAAACATCACATTGAGTATCTAAATATTAAGATGGCTCAGACTCTTGGATTCAATCTCCCAAAGGTGCTTTGGAGCACTTGGCACTATAAACATAGTCTCTGAGTGCAATCCCTTAAGCAACAAAGTTCCATGGAGGACACCATAGCCATCACTCTCCATACTGCTCTGACTCATCTGGAGCAATGGGGGACCTATGTAAGGATGCTCTTTATGGATTTTAGCTCTCCATTTAACACAATTCTTCCGTACACACTGGTGTCTAAACTTGTCAGCTTTGCTTTTTCACATTCAATCTGCCTTTGGATTTTGAACTTTCTGTCTGTCTGCTGTCAGAGGCATAGATTAGGCAACTGTATTTCTTTAGCCCTTATTCTTAATACTAGCTCCCTACAGGGCGGTGTGTTGAGCCCCTTCTTTACACCCTCTATACTTATGACTTCACCCCTGTTCATCCCAGCAATATTATTGTTAAATCTGCGGATAATACAACAGTGGTGGGGCTTATCACCAAAGAGGATGAGTCTGCCTACTGGGATGAGGTGGAGCAATTGCTCTTGTGGTGCAGAGACAATAATTTGGTTCTCAACACTGCTAAAACCAAGGATCTTATAGTAGATTATAGAAGGAATAAATCAGACATTCAGCCCGATCATCAATGGAGACTGTGTGGAACGGGTAGCTAGCTTTAGGTTTCTGGATGTTGCCATAAAGGAAGACATCACCTGGAGTGCTCATGTTATAGCAATGGTTAAGAAGGCCCAGCAGAGATTATATTTCTTGAGACTTCTCAGGAAACAACAACTGAATGAAAAACTGCTGGTGACCTTCTACCATTGCTCCATAGAAAGCATTCTAATCTATTGCATTTGTGTGTGGTTTGCCAACTGCACAGTAGCAGATAGGCAAGTACTCCAGAGAGTCATTACCATTGCCCAGAGGATTATTGGCTGCCCTCTCCTCCCTCCCCTGGACGAACTGTACAGTTCCCACTGTTTTAGAAAAGTTCAAAATATACTTAAAGACTCACCCCGTACATTCTTTTTTGAATTATTACCTATATGGCAGACAGTACAGGATAATAAAAAAAGACAAATAGGCTGAAAAATAGTTTTTATCTCAGAGCTGTAACCATATTAAATATTACTGTATAGTGCAACATTGAAGTGCAATAATAGGGGCAGCGCAATGGTGAATAGAATGTGAAGGGTGTGTGTATATAATGTATGTTCTTATTTGTGGTTTTTACTTATAAGTAGTGTGCACTGTGGACAGCACTTAATTTTGTTGAGTTACACAATGACAGATATTCTATTCTATTCTATTCTATTCTATTCTATTCTATTCTATTCTATTCTATTCTATTCTATTCTATTCTATTCTAACCATGCCCTTAGCTGCAATGGCATTGCAGCTTTGAAAGGCAGCCTTTTAAAGCAAGGAATACTGTAGATATGACTACTTAAAGTATTGCTGGGGGTGATTACATCCACCCTTGAAAATACTTTTTGGAGATTGACTTTAACACCCTACACCAGTGGTCCGTAACCCTCCAGTCCATGGACCGGTACCGGTCCACTGCACGCCAGCAACCAGTCCGCACAAACAAGCAAAGCTGCATCCATGGAATGCAGGCAGCACACAAAACCACGTACCTTCCAGTCCATGGAAAAACCTTTCTCCACAAAACCGGTCCCTGGTGCCCAAAAGTTTGGGGACCTCTGCCCTACATAGACCTCCTAAACATACATTGTCATACAGTGAAAATAATCTTGCAGCACTACTAATATTGCCAATATGATTTGAATTTTGTTAATTTTTCCAAATATTTTTGAGTATATGGACTATATAACTAGAAACTGTTCCATGTGAATTGTAAAAGTTTGTTCCAGAATCAGTTAAATATTTTAAAATATTGCTTTTGTCCTCCTGAACTCTCATTAATTTTCTGGAGTGACCGCCATGTACTGCACTTTTGCTTGTTTTTAAAGGCAAGTGCACTAATTACAATGATTTGTGAGATTCAGCATCACAGCGATTGGCATCACAGCTTCAAATTGTGGACTGGTAGTACTGTTGCAATTATGGATGCATTGTTGCTCCTTTGGAAGTAGTTTTTTAGAGGAGCTAAAATCTGTCTTCTTCATATCCCATTGGTTGGCCCCAAAACTTCCACAGTATACAATAAAAAGCAACTTAATAATATTGAAACAGCAATGTTACAAAAGTACATTTGAGAATTATCTTTCCTTAAAATAGGTCTTGAGAGTCAATATGGTGTAGTGGTTAAGGCATCAGGCTAGAAACAGGGGACTGTGAATTCTAGTCCCACCTTGCCATGAAGCCAGTGGGTGACCTTGGGTCAGTAACTTTCTGTTAACCATAGAGAGGCAATGGCAAGCCACTTTTGAAAAAACTTGCCAAGAAAAATACAGGTACCAGTCTGAGAATTGGATACAATTGAACTGAAAGGGGGAAAAAAGCCTTAATATTTTGAATCATGTCCCCCCAATGGCAAAAAGATTGGAATAATCTTCAAGGTTAAATGCCTAGTGGACAGTTACTTTCAAGCATGAAATCTTTATAGTTATTGGACAACTCCTTTCATTCTGCTGATAATAGAATGAAGGAAATATAACGTTTTCAAATGAAAGCACACTGGTCAGATCACCTTAAGACTGAATTTTTATTGAAAATTCAGAAGATAGTGATCGTCTAGTCAAGTGTTTGACAGCTTTTGCCTGTGAAGCATCTTAGCAAAGTAAACATCTTCCTCAGTTTGTAAATCTAACTTCCTCTGATTTTAATGGCATCTTTTAAAACTATTGTTAATGACTATTTTTTAACCTTTATAATCTGAATTCTGCCTATTGATTAGAAATAATAATAATAATAATAATAATAATAATGTTGGAAGGGACCTTGGAGGTCATCTAGTCCAACACCCTACTCAGGGAGGAAACCCTATACCATTTCGGACAAATGGCTGTCTAGTCTCTTCTTAAAAACTTCCAGTTTTGGAGCATTCACCGCTTCTGGAGGCAGGTCGTTCCACTGATTAATTGCTCTAACTGTCAGGAAGTTTCTCCTTAGTTCTAGGTTGCTTCTCTCCTTGATTAGTGTCCATCCGTTGCTTCTTGTCCTGCCTTCATGCGCTTTGGAAAATAGCTTGACTCCCTCTTCTTTGTGACAGCCCCTGAGATATTGGAACACTGCTATCATGTCCCCGCTCGACCTTCTGTTCATTAAACTAGACATACCCAATTCTAGCAACCATTCCTTATATGTTTTAGCCTCCAGTCCCCTGATCATCTTTGCTGCTCTTCTCTGAACTCTTTCTAGAGTCTCAACATCTTTTTTACATCATGGTGACCAAAACTGGATGCAGTATTCCAAGTGTGGCCTAACCAAGGCATTATAAAGTGGTATTAACACTTTACATGATCTTGCTTCTATCTCTCTGTTAATGCAGCGTAATACTGTGTTGGCTTTTTTGGCAGCTGCAGTATACTGCTGACTCGTATTTAAGTGATTGTCCACTAGGACTCTGAGATCCCTCTCACAGTTACTATTATTGAGCAAGGTATCATACCTGTGCATTTGGGGTTTTTTTTTTCCTAAATGTAGAACCTTATTTTTTCATCATTGAATTTCATTTTGTTAGATAGTGTTCAAGTCTGTCAAGATCCTCCTGTATCTTAAACTATCTTTTGGAATGTTGGCTATTCCTGCCAGCTTAGTGTCATCTGAAAATTTGATGAGTTCTCCATCTATCCCCTCATCTAATCATTGATGAAGATGTTGAAGAGCACTGTGCCCAGAACAGACTCTTGGGGCACCCCACTACACACTTCCCTCCATGTAGATGCAGTTCCATTGAGGACCACATGCCAAGTCCAGCCAGTCAGCCAGCTACGAATCCATCTGGTGATGATGATGTCTAACTCACATTTTTGTATTTTATCAAGTAGTAGGATATAGTCTACATTATCAAATGCCTTACTGAAGTCCAAGTAAATTACATCCACAGCATTCCTCTGGCATTCTTCTGGTTCACTAATTTTGCCACCTGGTCAAAGAATGCAATAAGATTTGTCTGGCATGATCTGTTTTTGACAAACCCATGTTGGCTTTTAGTAATGACTTTGTTTGCCTCTAGGTCAGTGGTTCTCAACCTTTTTAATGCCGCGACCCCCAATTGGTCGTAAGTCGAGGACTACTCAACTGGTCATAACTCGAGGACTACTCAACTGGTGCAGCACCATTTGCAGAATGGGACTTTTGGCGGGCTCAGCAGGGCAGAGACAGCCTGGACAATTCCTATTGGCTTTTGAAAGCCAATAGAATTAGACTCTATTCAAGAGAGTCTATTCTATTGGCTTTCAAAAGCCCATAGAATAAAAGGGAGTAGCACAGCTAAGGAAAAGGGGGGGAAAAATGGCGGACTGCGTTGTTTGGTGACCCCCGTGAAATGGTCGTTCGACCCCAAATGGGGTCCCGACCCACAGGTTGAGAACCACTGCTCTAGGTGTTCGCTGATTTGTTGTTTGATTATCTTTTCCAGAATCTTCCCAGGTATTGAAGTCAGGCTGATAGGTCTGTAATTTCCTGGATCCATTTTTTTCCCTTTTTTTGAAGACGGGAACTACATCAGCTCTTTTCCAGTCCTTTGGTAGTTCCCCAGTACTCCAGGATCTTTGAAAGATATAGTTCAATGGTCACATCTGCCAGTTCCTTGAGAACCTTGGGGTATAATCCATCTGGTCCTGGCAATTTGAACTTGTCTAGGCTGGACAGGTACTCACTTACCATTTTCTTGCCTATCTTAACTTGTGTTTCTATTCTGTTTTTATTTTTGATAGGTTGGTCTGTTTTTTCCCTTTGTGTAAAGACAGATGCAAAAAATGAGTTAAATAGTTCTGCTTTCTCCCTATTGCTTGTCACTTTCTTGCCACTTTCACCCACTAATGGACCAATCATTTCCACTTTTTTCTTGTTTGATGCTTTTATTGTATAATTGATAAATAACCAACAAATGCATATTGCTATATCCTAAGAATTGCAATAATTAAAGAATTATTTATTCAAATTTATATAAATAAAAGAACTGTAGCTAAGAAATTAAAAGATGCTTGCTTCTGGGGAGGAAAGCTATGGTAAATTTAGACAGCACACTAAAAAAGCACAGACATCACCCTGCCAACAAAAGTACGTATAGTCAAGGCCATGGTTTTCCCAGTTGCAATATATGGCTGTGAAACTTAGTTTTCCGATATGTGATTGCCTTATTGTGCATCACTATTTATTAATTTGGATTTATGCATTTACATACCTGATTTGATTTCATGCTTTTAATTTTTGGCTTTGTTTGTAAACATTTTTAAAATTTAGTCTTTGATCATAAACTATTTTTTTTAAAAAACTATAATAGAAAAATTAAGACGTTGTTTTCCAGTACAAAAACAAAAACCATTTGAGAGATCAATGCAGTTTCCTTTCTGTTTTGATGTTCTTCCAAAGGCTAGGATAGACATGAAGGCCCCTAAGCCTCTGGTTTTGAGCTTCCTTCTATGTTTTGAAATCTGTTGTGCTATATATTCAAAAGTCAAATTGCTGCTATATAAAGCTATACTAACAAGCATTTAAAGCAGGGGTGTCAAACTGCCAGCCCGTGGGCCGAACGTGTCACCAGGAAACCGTGCCCACCCCATTGCCGGCAATGGAGAAAAAGCTCCGATACGTTGCATGACGTCCCATGATGTCACGAGTTTGACATGTCTGATTTAAAGGATACAACCCAAAAGAGTCTGTATGGAAGTCACAGATGACCTTCTAGAATGGAATAAAGGTGTGGCTTTTCCAACAAATTTTTGGAGTAGGACACTTTATTATGCA